CATGCGCGAATACTTTCCAGCTTCTTCGGGTCTGGCAGGAGTCCGGAAGTGTTAACAATGAAGCCCAGAAAATTAACAGATTTTTGATTAAAGCGGCACTTCTTAATATCCACCTGCAGTCCAGCCCTGTCCAAACGCTGAAGGACCTCGCGTACTTCTGCCACGTGTTTACTTTTATCTTCAGAGTGGACGCATACATCATCCATATATGCGGAAACGTAACGAGCGAGCAGATCGCCTAGGACCGAATTGATATATCTTTGGAAAGTGGCCGGGCCACCTGACAGACCAAAAGGTAACACGCGGTAACGGTATTGACCGAATCGAGTACGAAACGTAGTCCATCCCACGGAGTCTGGATGCATCCGGATACGGTTGAACGCATGGATGACATCTAGAATGGTGAATTTCTTAGAACCAGCCATCTTGGCTAATGTCTCACCAATGAGGGGCAGAGGATAGCGATCTTTCCGCGTGTGTGCGTTTAATTTCCGGTAGTCTACACAAAATCGAAGGTCTCCATTCTTTTTCTTGACAAACAAGACCGGGGAATTGAACGGAGAATCGCTGGGTTCGATGAACCCGTTCGCCAGGTTCTCCTCGATGTAAGCATGTACGGTATCTAGCTCTTTCTGATTCATTTTATAGAGGGGAGCTTGCTTGAGCTCAGGCTCGCTATCCAGATTGATCTTATGGTCGAACTCCCTATGCGGCGGCAATTCCTTTGCGCGTCTTTTGGAGAAGACATGGGCAAGATCGTGATATCCAGGAGGTAATTGGGCCAACAATTGTGTCTTCTCTTCTTCTTCAGCGAGCTCCGCAATGTGCGCAATCTCTGTACCGTCGCAAGCGGTTTCCATTTCTACGAACCAGCATTGGTCTTCCGCTTCAATTGTCTCAACCTCGACGGCTGAAAGCGTAGGTGTGTCCATTTCGTCTAGACCCAGATCCTCCTTTTTCTTATCGTAGGCTTCTTGTCGCTCCTGCAGTGTAGGCCGGGGAGTCAGAATAATTGAAGGGGTCGCCGGCGCTTCTGCTACCATTGCAGGGCGTTTCAATATCTGCTTTGGCATAAAATGTGGAGATCTTTTAGCAGGAGGTTTGTTGATTTCTAGAGGGGGCAGTTCAATCAGTCGGTCACGACGGTTAGCGTCCCACTGATGATCATTGCGGTCTTCTGGCCACCACAGCCGGTGTCGCACGCAATCTGGGAGTACGTTATGATAGGCCAGCCACTGCCGACCGAGGATCACATTGTTCTTGTTACCAAGTGTGGTAGCAAAGAACGGCATGTTGACTCGGTGCGAGTCTATAGTCAGTGTCATCACGTAGGCATGGCGTAGAGGTCGGGATGATCCGCCGTCGAAGCCTCTGATAGAGAGTGGATGACGGAGATTGTAGCGCGTCATCTTAATCTTACTATTTCGGTACCAATCACGCAGTTGTTTACGATCTGCGAAGGCATATCCATTAGCGCCGGTATCAATGAGGGCAGAGATTGGAAATTGGGAATTGTTTTTAGTTTCAAGAGTACAATCTATAACTAATGGCCTTCCGCCAAACAAATTTTCCAAATCAATGCCATTTACTCGATACGTGTTATTCTCTAGGAAGGCGACTTCTCCTAGAGACAATCTTTTCCCTCATCGGAGCTCATGGTGAATTCCGATCCAGATGCTTCAGCTTCCTCCTTCTTCTTCGCATCCACCTCATTGACTTTAGCAGTAGGACACGCGTTAGCGTAGTGACCAGTCTTGTGGCAATGGAAGCAGACACCAGCGTTTCGGGCCAAGACTTTTGGCTTGGGTGGACCAGACGCTCTTGGAGGTGCAGTACGAGTTAGGCCCGGCGGGAGAATTGGCTTCTTGTACCTGTCCTTGCGTTGTTGGTAGCGAGCGGCTTGATCCTCCGATTTGCGCGCTAATTGCAGGTGTGGTTCTATTTTCAAGCAGTGTTGAGACATCTCCAAGGTAGATTCAAAATCCAATCCGGCTATGACATTTTGCAACTTGGGACTCATCTTTTCGCGAAGTTCATCCATGCGGTCTTCGTCTCTAAGTTGCAATTGAGAAGCGAAGGTCAGGAACTTAGTGAAGAAGGCTGAGAAGCTGTCATCCCCTTGTCGGAGTTTCTTGAAGTTGGCACGAGCTTCGGAGCGCTTCTGTCCTCGGGTCTTGCCGTAGGCTCCTCGCATAACTTCGACGATAGACATCGCAACAGTGATGTGGTTGACGCTTTCTGGCTCGAGGTAGGGTTTTATGAATTCCTGTGCATCACCACCAATAAAGCCCAAGAGGTAATTGATCTTGTGGTTTTCATCATCAAAGTAGATCGAGTCGCCGTTCAACTTGCGCTTAACAGCGTGTTCCCAGTTCTCGAAAGTAGGATTATGGGAACCCATGAAGGTGGGTGGGTTCTCAATCTTCTGGCGGTGGCGGAGTTGCTTAGCCTGTGGGTCACGGACCTCTTTGTATCTTGGTGGTATCTCTGAGGCCTCACAGCCGGCAGCGTCTTTCTCAACAGTGTTATAGGCTGCAGATCCTCGCACCGACTTGGATTCCTCCTTCTGCTTACCCTTATCCTTGGCCTTGAGATCTAGAGTGACCTCTGCGAATGCAGCCTTCCAGCGCTCAGCTTCCTCCGCCCAGGATTGTGCCATTTTCTCTGCCTCTGCCTTCTGCTCCAATGTATCTCGAAGGTAGTTGCTGATGTTGTTGGCGCGATCAGCCAGGGCGGTACACATAGTCTTAAGGGTATGTTCGTGACGTTCTTGATCAGTCTCCTTCTTGACTTCAGCAGCGCGGCGTTTGTTTCTCTTGTTGTAATCCTTGTCCAACAATTCAAAAGTGACTTTCTGATACCATGGAACATCAATCTTCGTAGTGAGGTCCTCCTCTTCCCCGGGTGCGCGGGTGGCGTACACCGAGGTTGTGAAGTCTTCCTTCGGCCACTCTCCTGGCATCTTCTGCTTTCCTTTATTAGCGAGACAATTAGCCAATGACTGTCCAGATAATCGTGAGCGAAACGCTGTCCACAGATTACTGAGTCTGAAATTAGTATTTTACCTCTCTACAGAGGTCGCGTTGAGTAGTTTAGGGAGCTTAGTATTATGTCACGGCGTAGAATAGGCACAAGTGAAAGTACAGCTTGTATGGCAATAATTCAATCTGTGAAGCAAATACTAAGCTGGAGAAGAATAGAAAAGAACAGGATCTCATTACAAAAAGCCCTGAGGCTATTCCTATTCGGGCGGGTTTCCACTAAATCGCCGCGTCCGTGCTCCTTCCTGCATCAGCCATCAGTCTCACATCCTCCCTCCACGTAATTGTATATCATGGCGGAGCAGAATGCCGTGCCGTGACAACCCTTGTCATTGTCTACGCTCTCTCTCCTGACTTACTGCCAACAGCGTGCCTGGGTAAAACTCTGCAGCTCATGAGTCCATCTCTCATGAGAGGCATCTGCTGTTCCGGTGGCTGGCGCGCGCGGTCCGAGTACGCGTCGCTGCAATGCCTCAATCTCTTACGTGTAATATCCCAGCTGAGCAATCCTGAACCTAGCTGTTCAGGAACGACAGCAATCCAGTCCATGGTTCGCGCCTGTGGTTTGTATACACACCACAGCGTCGCTCAAATTGTTCCCATACAAAGTCTCAGCTCCACACTCCTTAGTCCATTACTCAGGAGCGGAAGCAGTTGTATAGTTCCGATAGTGCGCTAGGTCTGCATGTACCTCTGAGCGCTATCCCGTAATTGCCCGGCAATACCTAACCGCTCACCGCTAGCGTGTGTGATCAATAGACTCATCACGACGCTGCCCCAATCATTGCCCTGCAATGAATCAGCCTGGCGCTCATGAGTCCACTACTCAGGAGCGGAAGCAGTTGTATGGTTCCGGTAGCATGCAAGGTCTGCATATACCTCAGGGCGCTATTCCGTAATTGTCCGGCAATATCTAACCGCTTATGGCTAGCGCACGTGGTCAGTAGACCCTTCACGTCGCTACCCCAATCGTTGCCTTGCAATGACTCAACCCGGTGCTCCCAAGTCCGAGACTCAGGAGCGGCAGCGGTTGTATCCATGGTCAATGCACAATGTGCATATGCACCTGTTGGCGCAGAGCCGGTCATTGACAAGCGAAAGTACAACACATTGCACCCCTACTCATTACCATGATGCAGGGCTGTCAGTCTTACCTACTCTCTAACAAGATTTTTCATCCATGAATTTTCTGAGCGTATTACAGCACTGCCACAATTGAACATCCTTGTCTTCTCAGATGGTTCAAAGCAAAAAGACGGGTCTGATGGGACAGGTGCTGTTGCTATACACAAGGGTGTCACTCTAGCTGAAGTGAGAGTGCTCCTTGCCCCTGATCTAGAGGTCTATGACTCTGAGATTACCGGAGCTCTCGTAGGGCTTTAATCCGCTATAGCAGCTCCTAAATCTCACCTTGCAACCAACATTCATGTCATCTTGGACAATCAAGAGGCTACTCGGCGCCTCTTGAATATTTCAATCTCAAAGTCTTTGCAAACCGAAATTTTGGAATTTTGAGAAATTGCATCACGCTGGCCACCAAGGAAAATTCTCCTCATTGCAGCTCCTGGAAAGATTTACGTGATGTGGTCTCCTGGTCACATGAGTATTCCAGGGAATGAGTTGCCTGACAACCGGCTCCCCCTGCTGCAATCATTGCTAGAATCAGCGCTGGGACAAAAATACGTACTATTGTATATCTAGATCAGGTGATGCCCTGACATATAGTGGCCGTTTTCTTAGGCAAATTTGCATTAGCGTATTTGTAGGATTAAGAAGTTTTTGGATAGGAAATCAGAAACCAACTTACACCCAGACTTCAAGACTTTACTCGCATTCTATGATACAGATTACAGGCATGCTTTGAGTTCGAAGTCAAGTGTGTTATTCCGAAAGCACAAATAGCTATTTGCGCAGGTAACTCAACTACCAATTTTCATCAATTCACTTTCAAAAAATAAAATGGTGCCACCAACAACCCGCTTGGTCTCATCTGGCAGCGAGAACTCTGAACTCGGAGAGAGGTCAAGCAACGAACCTACACTGGTAGATATCCTCTCTGAAAGTCGCAAGCTCAATGTCAAGCAAACAAGTCATGATGCTGAGTTAGCAAAACTAAGCGTTAGATTTTCTGAAATTGAGACAACTGTAAAACTCAATAAAAACTCCAGCGCGGCCTTGAAAAACGATGCACTGAGCGACACTAAACCTAAAGTCTCTGAATATATTGACAAGCCCAGGGGCCCAACTAATTTTCCTCGAAGAGATTCACTCTTCATTCCCAGAATTAAGTCTACATTGAATCTGGTGAGAGGACTCTTTGTAGTTCCTGCCAATTTGCCAGGGCCACAAGGAAAGACAAATTTACTTGACCTATCCGATCCTTGTATTGATAGGGAAAATAGAAGCAGCTGAGCCTTTTTCAGCTAGAAAAGCAAATATATTCAATTGTTGTGGAAGCACAGGTGCGAAATAATTGCCGAATCAGACTTTGCTTATCGAAATTTGGATAGTAGCAGCTCACATAAGGCATTTTGCTCCGGACTAAAGTTTCACAGATCTGTAAATAGAATTTTAATACTAATATTAATTTGTGATAAGATGAAGGGGTAGTTAGTTAAAACCATCAATTTAATAATAGCTTCCCCTATACAATTAGTCATGTAAAACGTCATGTAAGGATATACAAGAGAGTCATGAAGAGAAGGACAAGAACACAGCCATTAATGCGAAGATATTGGCAAGAATTGATTACGATTAATTCCGGCTGGCAAATGCTTCTACTCTTGTATATAATAGTTCGGCGTGAGAGAGATTTACTCCTCACGCAACGTCTTCATTATTTACCCTTTACAATACATTTGTTCACCCATCTCTTCTTCGGGAAGACCATATATCCATTGCCCAGTTCTTCATCAGCAAGACACACGTGTAACATCTACTGCAACTAGTTGCCCATTCATCTCTTCCTAGAGAAGACCTGTCATCCCTTTGACCCATTTATAATCTTCACTTACCACCTAGATCTTCACTAGGCTATACAACGCACCCCGTGGAACACTGTCAAACCCTCATCCCTGAGAAGGGACGATTGATTGTTGAAGACGAATGACTGCTGAAAACTAATGGTTTCGCTGAAGGGAACTAACGGTATCTGAAAAACTAGAGGCTGCTAGAGATGATCTAAAGGTGTAGGTTATGACAGAAGACAAAGCGTGAAGAGCTCAGCTTCAGTAGACCAAGCCCTTATTTATTTACATGATTTCTTTCCATTGTTCCATTATGACATAAGTCTTATCCTAATAATGATAGATTAACCAGTGCCAAGAGCTGCGGTATTTTCATAGCTGCTTGGAAGAAGACTAAAAATAAATCCTAAATTAAGAATGAAACAGGGAATCCTTATATTCGGCTTTCCAATCATGGCTACAATTGCTGTTCGAAAACATCTAGGGTGGTGACCTGCGTCTATACATGTCTGGAATAGATCTAGAACTAGTTCTGAAATAAGAGGCAAGGCTAAAAGTAGAGCTGCTGATGGTATCTGATCTTTACCTGGCGTAGTATTACCAGCTCCGAGGATAGCGTTTGTGATCTCTGGAATGGTAAAATCAGGAAAAGGTAGAGACAAAACTGGGACAGAAGGGGCAGATGTATTTATATCTCCGACCTCTGCCAGGTTGCTAAGGAGATGTCTAGCCAGTAACTCTCTCTTATCTTCAGTTGTCGAGGCTGGTGATGTACCTGGGGAAAGAGGATCTATCAGAGGGGGGTCCGAAAATCTCCCTTTGACTTATGCCATTTTGCTATACGGAAGACATCTTTTGGGTTTGTAGCTTGGTCAATAACCTTCTGGAAGAATAGGGATTTTGCCTGCCATACAGCCTTGCAGAAAGCTTTCCTATCTTCTCTTGTAGCATTTCCATTTCTAAGTTTTTCCCTATATGACTTTCTTGCTTCCTTGCAGCTCTGATTCCACCATGGCTGTCCTCTATTGTGTGAGAGGGATTGTTTAGCCGAGCCCGAAAAACAATTGTAAAGAATTTGGATGATATCCTCTGCTCTCTTGTCCAGACAGTTGCTGAATTTCTCAGATAGTAGGGTAAAGGAATCTAAGTGACTACGGAGTAATGAGAGAAAATTGACCGGTTGTATCGTTGCGAAACGGAGTCTAGGAGAAGAAGGATTGCTTCGTACTTGGCAGGGTACATTAATGAGCAGGAGTGAGTGGTCTGAACTAACATCTAGATCCTGTTGTACTGTTGCATGTGCCCCTCCTATTAATAAAGAGCTAGAGGCAAAGCAGAGATCCAGAACATGTCCGAGATTGTGGGTCGGGACATTAACTTCAGACAATAGGGAGAGGTCGTTATCCTCAAGCCAGGAAATGAAATCCGATGATTGTGTGGAGGGGGAGCCATTGTATGACGGGTTTCAGCTCGGATCATGGATGTTGAAGTCTCCTGTCAGAATAAGTTTAAGATTTAAGTGAATGTTTGTAATTGAGAGGAGAAAATAAACTCCTGCTCCCGAATTGGTAGCTCCAGGAGGGGCGTTGTAGATATTTGTTGGAATTTGCCACATTTCTTACAATAATCGGCATTCCTTGCAAATATGAACAACTTTCCTGCATGCTGCACAATACATCCTGTATTCTACATTTTAATTTCTTCTCGCTGTTGAGATATTCTCTCATGCATTTGCATGTGCGGGGTAATATGATACTATATGCAAATGCAGTGAGAGATATGGTCATGTTTACTTTGCGGCAAATAGGATGGCGTTAATAGTGCGGGGTCAGTACTGTTTTATTCCCCGCACAATGGTTTTGTGGTCAGCTGTTCTGAAGACTTTTCACTGTAATAATTGTTGTTTGCATACCCAATTTAACTCTAGGATATGCGCACATAAATTCGCGTTTTACATGTTCTTAATAAAGATATGTGGGACACAGTATTACGTTGTAAATGTTGACTAATGAACCCTATAGCTACAGATGAAATCTATGTACTGCTATGAAGGTCATGTGACCTGTCTAGCTTAGTTTACATGAGTAGGTGAAATGTTACCCCTAGACACACCCCCTTACCTACGAAACTTTACAGGATTTCATCAAGCATCCAAGGTAGTCATATTTAGTTGTCCGACAAACTTTTTAAAAAGAACAGACGACAATGCCTTTGTGAACCCGTCTGCAGCATTTTCTAATCCTGATTTCCATTCCAATTCAATTACTTTGTCGCTTATATATTCCCGCAGTAAGAACACAGGTACATCGTAATGTTTGCTCTTTTGAGTTACGCCCTGTCCTTTTATTTGCCTGTAGCCTGGCTGATTGTCATAGTAGAGGCAGACTATCTTTGCGTCGTCTGAGTTGTAGTTGATACTTCGAAAAATATTTCGAAGAAACACAGCCTCCTTAGCTGCTTCAGCCATAGCATAGACTTCTGCCATAGTTGAAGAACAAGTAACCCTCTTCATTTGATACGAATGCCAAGAGAAACAGGCACCTTTCAGGAAGAAAGCCCATCCACCATGAGAGCGTCGCGTTTCAGGATCTTGGGCATAATCGGAGTCAGTAAAACCGTGAAGCTTTAAGTTAGAGCCGGCACCAAAACTAAGACCCAGACGGGTAGTTTTGCAAAGATAGCGGTAAAGATGGCAAACTGCTGCTATATGAATTGGAGAAGGATTAGAAAGAAAACGACAGAGCTTTGTCATGGTATAGGTGATATCTGGTCTTGTTTGAGTAGCAGCATACATTGCAGAGCCAACCATCGACGCATAGAGCTCAATTTCCGCTGTAGAGGCAGTCCCTTCAAAAGGAATCAGGTGCTGTCCTGGAAGCATTGGTGTACTGGTTGGAGTACAATTTTTGAGGCTATACTTTTCAAGAATCTTCTCAAGATAGGCATCTTGATGGAGATAGAGGACTCGATTTGCTCGTTTGAGTACAATACGGACGCCGACATAAAACTCCGCAGGTCCCATATCCACCATTTTGAAAGAATCATGTAGCTGTCTTCGCCATTTCGAAACACCAGCCTCGGCACCAATGAGTAGAAAGTCATCTATATGAGTAACAAGATAAGTTTCATCAGAGTCACTATGATAAACAGAAGAATCAAGAAGTAAAGGCTTATAACCAAATTGGGCAACTTCAGAACGAAGTTTTGATTGCCAGAGATGTGGAGACTGCTTGAGACCATAGAGTGACTTCTTAAGTTTCCACATCCAGCGGTTGAGTGGGGATCCATCTGGAGTAGGTAACCTGTCTGGACATGCCATATATATATCAGTGTCGATTTCAGGGTTGAGAAAGGCGGTAACTACATCCATTTGTTCAACTTGCCAGTCATTGGAAGCGGCGAGTGCGAGAAGAGCTTTCCAGACGCTGGAGAGTGCTGTACTGGCAAAAGTGTCTTTGTAGTCTAGGCCTTCCCTTTGATGGAAGCCCTTTGCAACATAGCGTGATTTAGAACGGGTTAGCTGGCCATCTTTCCCTGTCTTTTGCCAATAAACCCATCTTCCTGGAATGATATCACGTCCTGAAGGAAGCTCAGAGCGAGGTAAGAGCTGCGAAGTATCGTTCATTTCAAGAGCTGTCAATTCTTCCCTCATAGATGCTTCCCAAAGAGCAGCACTGGGACTCAGTAGAGCTTCACAAAAGGTCTTTGGATCGCTGTCAGGAATGAGAGCCGATAGATACGGCCAATATTCTAAAAGCAGAATAGGATTTTCATCCTGCGGAGTATGCAGTGAATTTGAGCCTTTTGCTTTACTGCAAGTGACACGGATATCTGATTCGGGCTTAGAGAGATCGAATGAATTAGGTCCAGCTGTCAACTTGGGCTTATTCTTGGCACCGGGAGGTCGACCACGGCTGCGCTTAGGGAGTTGTGGGAGAGGTGCAAACAAAGGATCTTCTTCAGCAGGCATGTCGTGTCTTGCATCGAGGAGCGGAGGTATTTCATCATCCAAATGTGCACCCCCTACTGAGCCATTTTCTTTGGAACTATCTGAGTCCACTCCAATTTGTGGAGAATTAGGAAAGGGAATTTCAACCTCATTGACAAACTTAGAAGAGGGCTCAGGTATTTCATCAGGATGGTCTTCAGCAGAAAATTCATTGAAACGTCCCTCAAAGAAACGAACATGAGACGACCGTACAAGCTGATGGCCAAGAGGTCTTGAGGGGATCCAACAACAATAAATATGGTTCCCTTCAAATCCTACTAAGATACCTTCTTCAGTGCGTGCATCCATTTTCTGCGACTTTATTCGACGCTCATTTGGTATGTATACAAGTACACGAGAGCCTAATACTCTGATTCCAGAATTATCAGGTTTGTGTTCAGAGGTATCGAATCCTGTAGCCCGAGATTGTGCTTCGTAGGGAGTCATATTGTCATAGACCGATGTGGTGATACAATTGAGAATGTAAATGACAGCACGGAATATCTCTGGCCAAAGAGA